TGAGGGGAATGTGCTGGCTGAGATGTACCCAGGGGTGTGGGGTGCAGGCGGTGCTGCTGAGACGTGCACCCCGGGGTGCTGTCAGGGAGCACACGGGGGTGACACCCACTGCAGGCAGTGCCAGGCCACAGCACTGTCCCTGGGGTGAGGGGCACGGGCTGCTCCAAGCCACCCTCATCTTGCCAGCCCTGTCCCACAGTCACCCACTCCACATGGAAGCTCTGCCCTCAGCCCTGGGTGCAACCAGAGCCCTGCAGCTGGTGGGCACAGTGGCACAGGGGCAGCAGGCTGTCCCCTGCCAGAGACTCTCTGTGGAGATGGGAAAGGATGCTGATGGCAGTCCCGTGGGAGCCGACTCCTCGGGCAGCACTGGCCCCGCGCCCAGGGGCTGCGGGCACCCTGCTCCCTCTCCCTGTGGTTGCAGGAGCGGTGCTGCCTCCCAAGGAGGGGCTGTGCCCGGCGGGCCGGGGGAACGGCCAGGGCACAGGGGCTGCAGGCTCAGCGCCGTGGCACAGGCACTGCGCCGGCAGCCAGGCTGGCAGCGGGTGCTATGGGACCTGCTCCGGCACAGGCGGACATCAGGCGCACGCAGGAGGCTCCCGGTCACCAGTAGACACCGTCCTTGCTGGGGACTGCACCCAGTACTGCTAGCTCTGACCCCCCGCCAGCCCCTGCCATGTGCCTCCCCCCTCGGGGGGGACAGTGTGGGGTTGGGGACCTGCCACCCCTGATGCGGAGGACTTGGGGTGCTGTCCCCAGCCTGGGGGCAGGATGGCAGGACATGACAAGGGGCTGCGGGGGGCACATGGAGCAGTGCTGGGGGCGGCTCCTCAGCCCAAGAGGACACAGGGTATTGTCACAGGGACACACCGTGGGCTGGGGCCGTCTTGGGGTCCCCGAATGGTCCCTGTCATGGTGTGGCAGACATGGGGTGCTGGTGCTGCACATCACCCCTCCTGGGAAGGGTCTGGGGGTCCCCGTGCCATCAGCACTGTGGGGCCAGCGGGGCATCACCATGTCACGGGGGATGACAGTGGGTTGTTGCCACGGCAACGCTGGAGCAACAGGCGCAGGGCCCCGGCGCCACACGATGACCATATTTACCTTCCCAGAAACCGCTTCGTGCTCCAGCAATTTGCCTCAATTAGGCTCGTTACCACGTCAGGAGGCCA